ACCGAGATCTAACAATACAACACCTACTAAACCCTTCCCATCAAGATTTTATTTTCAATGTTTCAAATTGCCGATCAGAGCTGTATTACTTCCATGACGCTTATGTGAGGCAATTTGATGGCTTACAAGCAGTCTCCCTCAAACTATTGCCATAACTTGTGGTAGAGACAATTACCCAAAACTGCGTCAAAGCTGGGTAACACCAAAATGGGTCAATAATTTCTTTTATCTAGGTGTTCGTGAGCTTGGAAGACAGGTGTTACCTGGCCATAGGCACCTTACCCATGCAAATGCAAAAATTGATTAACTCCGTTAACGGTGTCCCTTTGCGACGCAAGCCACTAACAGCGAGGAGAAAAAAACGAACACAGACTGGGGAGAGACACCTCTTAATAATCAACCTGATTACAACATTTCGTCGCGTCCTCCTCAACTTTGGAAACATCGACTGCATCCTCTGAAAGAAACTCGGTCTTCTTCGCAGAAATATAGCGAGAATCAACATGAAAGAAGTCATCAAAAGAACTTCATCCGCTGCCATTTTTTTTTTAGTTGCGCGCTTTTGTAAATATACAATTTAATTTAGGCGCTCAAATTCCGAGTGAAATTGTACAGTGAAAATAGTTACCATATTTAACAAGAAAATGTCGGTCTGGAAAGAATAATTTAATTCGCTTAAAAACACTGTATTTCCGGTCTATTGCGACTGACAACACGACCAAAAGGAAAAACACCAGGAAGAATCTTTGGAGAGCGGGAGTATCTGAAATTAACCAGACCTCAAATTTGTTGTACACTGTTCAGAGCTCAGCATCACGTTTCAAGTAGATCATCAGTTCAAGATTATTTCGCGTTTTTAATCTTTTTGAGAAAAACATAGCAATTCAGACATTTGATAGAACGATACGTTACAGCGATGTTTTCTAATAATTTATAAATTGACCATGAACATAAACATGCATCCTCAGTTGGTCGCAAACGAGAACCAAATTTGGAAATGACCATTGCAGAGGCTGCTATCAAGCTATGTGACAGAAGTAACGAGGAATTTCAAAAAGTGATTTCACGAACATACCTTGTAGCACTTTTATTATGCGGGATTTAAGTTTTCAGGGTATTGTGGATGGTACTTGATTCGCAAAAATAAGTTCCAGCAGAAAGAAAACACCAGCAAAGTTTAAAACCGCAAAAATTAATCACTGTGTGATTAATAAATGGCTTTTAATCCACTCGTGTTCATATATATCATACATCGAAGTAAAAAGAATGTTTTAATTTGAGCTAACA